TCCTCCTTCTACTCCCCGCATCCCTTCTCCTCTTTTTCCACCACCTCCCATCCTTTGAGACACAGTATCACTCATTAGACAGCTTTTGTTGTCGCTGCGAGAAGCGTTCAGTGTCAGCTCGGGAAGAAGCCTTTAAATAAAAACGCTGACAGAACAAACAAACAGTGAGACGATTTTACACCTGATTCTTTTACAAAAAGTTAAATGTTTTATTTTTTAAATTTCATTTATGTATTTGTGTATTTATTGGTGTAGTTTATGAACGTTCTGACCACATAACATTCATTAAACTAGAAAAATTTCCTTTTCTGTTCAACTTCAGTGTGCATTCTGAGAATCAAATGACTACGCCAAGATTAGAAGTYAAATAAGTTGTAGCTAAAATGAGCAAAACAGAAGCTTAAAGCTAAAGTTGGACACAAGTGCCTTTTGGAATATAAAAATCACAGTGGATTTAACGTGCACAGAATTATCATGTAATCAAGCAACTATTTCACAATCAACATGTGGAAATCTCTAACGTTTCCAGAGGTGGTTCACATGTAAACAGGGACTATGGTTTCACATCCTAGTCCAGACGGTGACAAAACTGTCCTGTTGGTTGCCTGTTTAAAAGAAATATAGTTAGATTTTTGGGTCAGATTTGTAATTGAGAACATGTTATCTGCACAGCTGCAGAATCCTGGGCTACACATGGTTAAAATAAAACTAGCAAATCTTTACTGACTGGTACAAATAACCAAAATTACCAGGATGGTGGAGCAAAACTAGAAAATTAGTAATGATGGTCTCAGTGTTCAAGGCTGACTCTAGCTCATCATCACATACCAGATTAAATTATTTAGTTTTTTTATTGTTTTTATATTCATGAACCAATTGTCCAGATAAAATAGTTAAGACATATGAACATTTGAAACAAAATACCAGAAGTCGACCTCATACCTGCCAACATCTGCTGGCAGCAACGAGGAACACCTGTTCATGTTAATGAGCWGCTGTGGAGTGAAGCAGTTCTAGGGGGGTCCCAGGTATACTCCCCCAGAAAATTTTGTAAATGATCCTCTCAAAACTCTGCATTTTGCATCCATTTAAAGAGCATTTTATTAAATTCTTGGGATTAATAAAACRTTAACGGGATCCATGATTAGTTGTAACATTAGACTTTATTTAATAAACATATATTTTAACTGTAAAATAAAGACTGTAAAAATACTGTAGGATGTTTTATCATTTTTAAACTAAAAGTTTAAAAATATTTTACATGGACAAAGCCATTTTATTTACACACAAAGCATTCTGGGTAAATGATGACATGGATAGGTCCTTGGTGCGAGGCTGCTAGCGAGCTATATCCACCCTGAAGGTTAATCTTGGACAAAATCTGATGATCGACTCTTTTAAATGAAACCAGAGAGCATTGACAGAGAGGAGAAGGTAGAAATGACTCAGCCTGTAACTGAAAATATAGATGGACGAAAACAGAGCTGCTTCATGGAAGAAGAACCTCAGCTTAGCCTGTTAGCTTTAGCGTTAGCTCCAACGCTATCACCATATATATGTATTAGCTCAGAGCTACACATTCTCCTCTCGTCACTGAGGTCCTCCATCCACATGACAGAGAGGAGAACGCAAAAATGACTCCTGAAAATATGGATGGAGGACCTCAGTTTAGCTTGTTTGTCGTGCTAGCACTGAGCTAATACATTTAAGGCAATATAGCATTGGTGCTAGCGCAGAGGCTAACAGGCTAAGCTGAGGTTCTTCTTCCATGAAGCAGCTCTGTTGTCCTCCATCTATATTTTCAGTTACAGGCTGAGTCATTTCTACCTTCTCCTCTCTGTCAACGCTCTCTGGTTTCATTTAAAAGAGTCGATCATCAGATATTGTCCAAGATTAACCTTCAGGGTGGATATAGCTCGCTAGCAGCCTCGCACCAAGGACCAATCCACGTCATCATTTAACCAAAATGCTTTGTGGGTAAATAAAATTTCTCCATCCGTGTTAAAATATATTTTTAAAAATTTACAAAACTAAACAGCTTACAGTATTTTTACAGTTTTTATTTTACAGTTAAAATATATGTTTATCAAATAAAGTCTAATGTTACAACTAATCTTGGATCCCTTTAAATAAAGGTAGAACACTGAAAACCAGACTTAAACCTGAACTATACCTGAGATCATTACTGAAACTACCATTATCCTTATTTTGTTTTCTATTTACACAGTGAGCACCATAGTTAGTCTTGACTGCATCCAATTATATTTTTATCATGAAATATCCTCTGCACCATATAACACCTCATGTAGTAACAAAGCAGCTGAGAAACCCACAGAACAGAATTATTGATTTATAAACTTTAGTAATTAGTGAATATTCTGCAGATGAAATCTACTGTACTGTACAACTGGCTGGCTCTGTATGAAACAGAAGAGACGTTCACCTGGAGCACAGGTGTTCAAAACAAAACATAGCAGCTTCATGCTTGGAAACTCCTCTACCTAAGTAGTGCTGTGAAATAAAAAAACACAGTTCACAAACATGTTTTATCTTTTTAATAATCTGTAATTTGTTATTTGTTTGAATGAGACTCACCGGACTTCTAGCTGACTTATTCTCTGCAAGGTATTTGTGGCGTCGTTGCTGTTTTTGAAAAATGATTTTGGTCCAAGTTGCGTATTTGAGTTGAGGTGTGTGTTTGTGTGTCTGCCTGTCTGTGCCTTTAGCCTTGAGAGTTCAGAGCAGGTTGTGGCACGCTCAAATCTGGGAAAACTTTGAGCCGAGCAAATAGCTCACCTGTTTTTCTGGCCGTCGCCGCAGTCAGACGCGCGAGCCGTGTGCACGCACACGATTTCTATCTCGCTGCTGTGCAGAGAAGTTGTCAAGTGTTTTGTCTGTCAGGTTGAGTTTTTGTGCGTTTGATGTAAGACTGATAAGAAAAATGTGGCTGAACTGAGGGAGAAATGAAAGACAAGACACCCCTGCTATTCCCACAGCTCCACAGTCTGCTGCAGCGTTCTCATGTCCTGACCCCAGTCACCGCAGAGGTAAACACTACTCTGCATGTACACACACACAGGAGACGACCTGCTTTGTCTTAGGTGGGTGTAGGCTTCAGACTTGCTCCTGGTTCATGTTTTTTTCCCAGGTAAAGAGTGACAAGGCTTAAGTGAGCTGGTTCAGGATCTTTTCTCGTGAGCGGAGTTTGATTTACAGCCCGCTTAAGGAATGCTGTTTACTGGGTGGAGCACAGGTCTGTTGACAAGGCTTTTAGCACTCAAGTGCTGTCAGGATGGCTTATAGACAAGTGCGTGTTCATGTTAGGGGCCGGCAGGCAAGAGGTCACTAATGTCCCACCAGAGAGACCATTACCGCAGAGGAGGACGGGACAACAAGTATGTGTGAAAATGACTGAGGCGTAAAAGGCTGTTTTCACTCACACTCTCACACCCAGACTGGATCTGTGAGGAACATCTATGCCTCCTTCACACCAAAGCAGCAGCGCAGGGAAAATGTCATTGCTCAAGTTGTGAATGGGTCAGCACAAGTGAACGGACTCTTTAAGCCTGTTTTTGATTGGTTGAACACAAGTCTGTACGCCTTTTTTCTATTTTTTATTAAGAAAAGACAAACTTGCTGATAAAATCTTTCCCAGAAAATTTGTTCCAGCTCACTGAAAGTCTGTGCTTTGAGAATAAAATGAGCCACTGAAGTGGAGAGTTTTATATTATTTTTATAACCAATTACTAGAAAAATGTTAAAACCTTTTCTGTGAAGTTAAATTGCTTAAATTTTGAAATAAAAGCTCTGTCATTTCAAAATAAGACCAATAAATCTGTTTAATAATTGGTCTTATTTTGAAATGACAGAATTTTGATTTCTTCTAGGATTTTTTTTTGTATGCCTGTATTTAGTCTACAATTTTTTTTTAATGTGTATAGTTAAAAGAAACTAGTTCAGTATTATTTAAAAACTGAAATACTACTATTTTTGGAATATTTCTGTGTAATTTCTCAAGCATTGCTCTAAGTGTCTGTTAATATTTTTTTTCTGAAAGATAAAATATTGAAAAATACTTTTTTAACTAAATGAAGTTTAAAAGAATTAATATGAATAAAATAGGTCAAATAGTACAAGACAGAAGCATAAATGTGCCAGGAAAGTAAAAGGAACTAGTATTATTTTTCTGCCAATTTTATGCTTGAATGTAGAAATAAAAAACATATCCTTAAAATGTTCTGGTCGTATTAGATTTTAGAGGTGCCCAAAGTGGGGCCCCTGGGCCAAAATTGGCCCACCAAGCCATTTAATTTGGCCCACTAGCAGTTGTCGTGGCTGCTAGGTTGTAATCTCCTGTTTTATGTAGAAACATTATATCCCCACTTTGTCATTCATTGGTCCAACTGTAGTGCAGATAGTCTTAAGTCATGGTATTACTTTATATTTGAATTACATAAAAATTAAACATAAAATAAAAGTAACTACATGACACATTTAGATTAGATTTAAGCACACATCTAGATTTGCACATTTCATAAGACCACAAAAACTCAAATTTTAATTTATGTCCCATGAGTCTTTGCTGCTCGAGTGTACGTCAGATATTCTGCAAACAGAATATCTGTTAGCTAACAAAAGAATAACAAACAAAAAAATGTGGGCCACCGCACTAGCTGCTAGCTTAGTTTTAAAAAATAAAACAACTTTACTTAACAAGTATTTTCATTTCATTTATTTTATTATTGCATTTGGACCTGCAGCCCTCAGATCCATTTTAATTTTGGTCCTAAGAGAAAATGTTTGAGCGCCCCTTTTATAGACGAAGAAAACTCGTGTTTGGGGTGTTGTTTTTAATCTATTCCAAAATGAGATTAAAAGAAAGAATAACACAACTGTGGCGTCTCACCTTTTATAAGTCAACAATCTTTTAGTGTCTGCTGATTTTGTTTAAACTGCTTTCATCCAGTAAAGCTTTGTTAAAGTTTTTTTTCTTTGTTCAGGCATGTAACAGCGATCAGTACGTGGCGATCCCTCGAGCAGACATGGTCAGGATGCTGAAGGAGAAAGGTGTGTTGCTGTTTTGACGTTTGTGATGAGGATTTGTCTGCAAGCTTGGATCTGTAATCAGTGATCAATCCCGTAAAGAGTAAAGATGTTAATGTTTTTGTTCGCAGGGTTTTTGCAGGACAGCAGCGAGCAGACACACGAGGAACCCTGCCAACAGGAAGAGCAGCAGCTCGATGACACGCTGACCCCCGGCGTGACCCCTGACCCCCCCAGGTATGCCACTCAGTGTCGCTGGGCCTCCCTTTCAGGCCTGGACCGCGACACCCTGACCTTTCCCGGGGGGTCGCCCATCCAGCTGCACGCCGTGCCCCCCGCCCTGCTGCAGAGGATATCGCTGTTCTACGTCTGCACCAGATGTGGCAAGGTGTTCTGGGAAGGCTCGCACTTTGGCCGCGTGCTCTCCTTGTTTCAGGAGGTTTTGCACGTAACAGATGAGGACAGGAGCTCAGCTGCAGAGCCGTTCCCTCTGAGCCACTGACGGGTGTGGAGTTGTTACGCTTCACTCTGGAACAGCCACAAACCTTTCAGCAGTCAGAGAAATTCACTTTATTTGCACCACCTGTCAAGTTAAAAAGCACAGAAAGGTGTTAGTTTACCATTTTAGTTCGCAGTGACAAATTAGATGGATCTGTTTCTGTCTATATTTATGTTTTGGAATAATAAATATGGTCACGTTTATAAGGGTTTCCTATTTAGAGAGAGAAACCTGTTTGTCACAGTCCATCTGCTCATAAACAGAGAAAGCTGTTAACTCCAGGTCTGATGTTTGAGAACAGGCAGTTCTTTTTTTTTCTTTTTTTTTACCACATTCATATTTTCAAATCCTCAACATGTAAACCAAGAATTAGCCTCATCCGGCGTCTTTGTGTAGGTTAACAGCTCTACCTTTAGGTGCTGAGTGTCACTTTCAAACCCTTGTTTTGTTAGCAGATTCATTTTGTGGAAATGAAATGAGTTTATAAAAGTTCTAATTTGTTTATTTCAGTACAGGAATCTCAACCAACTGAGCTGCTCACAAATGTTCAAGTTTGCTTTGGCAGATGAACCAAAAATCTCTTTTTTGATGTTTAATGGTTTGAATTGGGCTCTTTTGAAATTTATAGTTAAATCTTAACGAAGTCTTTTTACTTGAATTGATTTGATCTGTGGTCATATCAAACAGATGTTTTTTTAAAGTTAAGATATGTAATTATATGTGTTTTTTTTTTTCTTTTCCTGTCGGCACATTTTAATGAGTTTCAATTTTTACCCAATGTGTTAATAAACAGACATTTCATTGTTGAGCTGAGAGAATTATTAAGTTGTTTTTCAGCAGATGTTCTTTAGACTTTTTGATGTTTCTCAAAGTCAGGGAGCAGATGGTTGCAGGACTGAGTGGACAGATTGAGATCATCGAAGCCACCCTGATGTCTGTCAGGTGTAACTTTAGCACCGAGGGTTTTTCTGTCCTCGGGCTGGAGGACCGGTCACGTCTCCAAACCGGCGCATTCCAACAGAACCCGCTTTCATTCTCTCAGACGTCTTCCTCCTCCGTTCGCTAATCCCACACTCAGTTTGTGTGTCTGCGGGGAATCTGGGGTCAGGCCTCAAAGAGATCCAACAATGAAATTTTCTAACAATTAAGAATTTTCTAGTGTTTTCCAGATAATTTTGTGGAGCAGAAGTCTACACTCGTAAAATGCAGGGATCTCTAACCGTAGCCAGATGTTCCCTCTTTTTTTTCTGAGTATCAAAAAAAAAAAAAATGCCACAATTCAGGAGCTTCTTACTGCGAATCTCTGAAGTAAATGAGTTTTTAGTTACTCAGTTTAAAGCACAACAGCTGCAGGAGGAGGTCTGAGAATCGGTGTCATTCGAGCCATACTTAGTCATTAAACTTTGAATTTTAGGTTTAACCAAAATATTCAACAACTAACAGAGAAAGTGTTATTATTAGACAGTTTTAGTTTCTCCTTCCTTTTTTCACACAGGTAAATAATGATGATTATAGCAATTATAATGAAATCATAGCAATTATGCAATAAGGTTGTTTTTATGTGTCGGGCACGCACAAATTGTACGTCATAAATAACCAAACGGAGGGTGTGAAAGTGTTTAATGAGTGTAATTAGAACTTCTTGGATCACTAAATTAACGAGCTGCAAACCGAACAGTTCGGTTGTTTTTACTACGACAAATTATGGGATAAAAGTTGCTCTTTGACGCACTCTTCATGCACTTGCATTCCTTTTCTTTTAAGAGCGTTAAAGTCATTGGTTGTTTGGAGGAAAATGTGTTCTTTAGGAATGAAGCAGCAGCAGAGGTGCACTGAATCGTTGTTTGGATAAATCAAGCAATTTKTTATAATTAAGGATAATTTATTTTCTCTTAAATGTAACTTTTGCGTTATTAAGCAGAACATTTATTGACCTTAATTTGGACCAGTTTTAGTTAAGTCCTTTTTCATAAATAATAGCTATAAAAAATCAAATGTTATTATATTTTAAAAAATGTCTTTGAGGCATTAATAACAGGAATTTGTATTTAAAGATCATGCACCCTTCAACATCGTAGGGTTTGTTTTTGTTTTATTTACTATTTTTTATGTCAAACCAACGCTCTTTAAAAACATTTAAACCTAAAATCACTACAACAGTTTTTAAACAAAATGTGTTTAAAGAGCTGTTGCTGATAAGGTTGATTTTAATACAAAATGTCTTTTTTGTGTTTGATTATTTATTTAATTTCTAATAGGACTCGGTTTTAACATGTCTTTAAGTGAAATGAGTCGTAAAAACAGTAAAACGAGCCAGAAAACATTTAGTCATTAACATTTATTTTCTAACTCAAGCAAAACTCTGAAGGATCAGTGATTTAATTTAAAGCAGTTAATAATATTAACATTTTAACCACTTTCAATGTGTTTTAATGAGGTTTGATTTGTGAAGAAAAATAAACAAAAGACTCAACACTTAAAAAAATAACAAGAGGAACTTTAACATTTTGAATTAATGTTAACATTTAAACATTAATGATGAGATTTTATAAAAAGTTTAGTATTTTTATAAGATTAATGTAAATATTCTGTCGTTTAAGGGATTAAATCAGGGATCACTGAGTGCAGCGCTGTAATTTGGGGGAAAACAAGCTGATAAACTGATTGACTGATTTTGGCAGCAGAAGAAAAAGGTGTGTGTGTGTGTGGGGGGGGGGGGGGTAACGTTGTAGAAAAGATGCCAAAACCCTCAAACCAGCTCTTTATTGCATCTGAAGTTCTCTCCTCTGATTAAGATTTACGACACTTTTCAGCCTGAAACCCAAACACAAACACTTGGCGTTCCACCGTGCACATTTGACCAACTTTCCCCTCTTAAATGTGTCTTTATGGGCTTTCTGAACGAAGTGAAAGCTCCCTGGTCCCGTCCGTGGTCCGGGTGGTCGCAGCTCTGCATCTCTGCAGAGCCTGAGCTCGGCGCTGCAGCACCGTGTTATTTGATCCACGCTTTTTCTTTGCTGGGAAGAAAAGCTCGCCTCTTTCCCACGCTCTGAGGACACGTGGTGCCCGGAATGAATTGGACTGAGAGGACCCTCCCTCCTGGTTACACGTCACCTCTCTCTCTCTCTCGCTCTCTCTCTCTCACACACACACACACACACGCATTTTTGCTTTCTGGCATGGATGTGGAAAGAAAAACAATATTGCAGAATAATATAAATAAAGAGTTCTTTTTTGTGTGTGTGACCACATTCATTCACTTTCTCTCCTCGTGTCACAGCCTGTGGGTTTACATATTTGGACTCTAATTCAGCTGCAAGCATTCCAAGCCTGGACTTGGACTGGTCTGTTTGACCCCGGACCGTCCCGGCTCCAGAGCCAAATCCCATTTGAGTGTTCTGAGCTGGTTCAGGTCTCTGTTTGCGGGGCTGCACGATTCCAGAACCAGACTTTGATAGAATAAAAGCCATCCAAAAGAAAAAAAWAGTGGCTCAAAGACTTCTTAATTTGCAAACTTGGGGTCAAAAGTTGACTATACATAATATATAAACGATAGAGAAAATTCACGATTCGGTTCAATGCTTTAGTCTCATGATTCAATATTTTTTCGATGCAAAATAGAGAAAATTCCATGCCCTTTTTAACTTGTAACTTATTTAAATTAATTGTGAACGTTTGTTTAACCTCAAAATGCAGTTTTTAATTTAAATGTTGCTGAAACAGCAAGTTTCTCAGTGGATCTGTGCTCGACAATGCAGCCTAGGTGGAGTAATCGAACACAGATCCACTGATCCTTTAACACAGAGCATC